GCATTGGAGGACAACTGCTCTAACCACTCAGCCACAGCCGCCAATTATAATCCCCCTCACTCGAAGAAAAGACAAAGAATGCTGACAACAAATGAAATGCTGCCTGAAAGGACTGCTGATCATTGGCTGAACAGACATCAGCCAATTTCCTGATCCTCAGGAAAGTAGCTGGTCTCAAGGTTTATGACCGTTTATTGTTGTCGTTGTTATCCACCGTTGTCATTACTCTTTGTTGAAATCAGGTCTCTCTTGTAAATGAGTCCCTGAGGCTCAATGGGATTAACCTGTCTAAATAAAGGTTTAATGATTAAGCTTAGATAGTTACTGTGTTCATTTTGAAGGTATACTGGTTATAACTAGGGATGCATCGATCCACTTTTTTAAACCTCCGATCCGATCCCTAAATCTGAATATCTGCCGATACCGATCCAGTTCCGATATTATGATCATAATTGATTTTATATGAGGCTGTAATAATTAGGGATGGGGCCGATCCGATATCGGCCTCCGATACCAGCATAAATTACGTATCGGATTTTTCCGATCCAAGTGCAGATATTTAGAGAAGGGGTTCTCTGCAGACCAAAAGTGGGCGTTTCTGGCAAATAGGCGTTTATGGGCGGCGAACACTGATTGGCTAACAATATTTAATAGGCGTTTATGGGCGGCGAACACTGATTGGCTATGGGTAACCCTCAAAATCATGAGGATTATTGATGAGGTAACGTTTCTTTGAGATGTTTGACAAAGAAATATGATTTATTGTACTTATAAAGTATGTTATGTTTTCACTTATGCATATTATTGAAGTACGTTTATTGTAGGTCACGATAGTTGCGACCGTTCTCTCGTTGTTGTCATGCTTTAGAAGTTTAGCTCATGTGAAAACATGGTGGGGAATTCCCATGCAGGTAACACACTGAGGTAAAGTGAGCCTCCACAGCAGCTCTCACTGTGCACGTTTACAGCAACTGGGTGTTGCTTTTCAAAATAAAAGCTGAAAATAAAAGTTCTTAATGCTTGAAAAATAAATATTTAAAAGCTGTGTATAACTGAAAAATATGAAAAACAAATAAATAAAAGTTGTTATTAGCTGAAAAATAAATAAATAAAAGCTGTTAATTATATTTATGTCTTTCTGCCATGTCAGGAACCACTCTCACTTCAGGTTGACTCTAGAAGACCCCAAGATGTTGCTCAACAATGTTAACCAACATCTGATGTTGACTTTCAAAATTAACGAAGAAGCCTGAAGTATTTCAGGCTGAGCACAGAAAGCCTTATGTCATTTCTGTCTGCTTCAGCTGTGGAGAAGAATTTAAAGATTGTGGTGCAGGTTTCTGGGGCAGTGACAAAAGAGGAGAGCTGAGGGCCTTCCACAGTGAAGCCATTAGTCCTGGGTACTGCACCCACTTTTGTGCCATGGATGTAGGGTTAGTAGTCCAGCTTTTGTACTGTGATGCCCACACATTACAATAAGTAACAACTAGCAACACCCTAACTGTACTATGTTCTGTGTTCCCAACAGATGCTACGATTACTTCTAAAAATGGATGTCCCAATAAACACAATTAAAAAATTCAATGATACATCAAATGTTGTCTGAGTATGTTTTAAGGTAATAACAAATGTGAAATCTGGAAAACAAAGACAATTCCTGAATCTGTCGTGTGTTTTGATGTGTACATAAGTTTATTGGAGGTCCTGAAACAACTTTTTTGAGAACACAAAGATTTTTATTTTACCTTTGGCCAAGATGTCCGTTTGAAATCAGGCTGCTTACTGCAAAACCAAGAG